ACCCGTGTCAGTCACGCGATTCGTATATGATGGGCTTATTAAAATGTAACAAATACATGGACTTATCGTTCACATGTGTCTAACGTTTGGGCGTGGCTTCTCCGCGCCACGGCTGACCAATCTTCATGTTGGTCCGCAGTGGTGCTCTATCTCAGAAATACTCGACGCATGGGTGCGATGGGTCCATTGTTTGACAAGCCTAACTTTCTTCTCAAAACTCAATTTATTTGTTTATTTTTATTTTTTTGGTTTTTGTATGTGACAATTATCATGATGGAAAATTCGATTGTCCAAATGGGTAAAGCATTTGAATCTTGAAAGAATTGTACGGTTGTCACTAATCCTAAATTGTCATGATTGTATTCCTTCCAGGGGACATGCAGTAGAACTTTGTATCATGCAGGAATGTATTCTTTACCCTCAAATGGGCTTGAGACAAGTATTCGTTATCCTTTGATCTTGACGACTGGTATTATCAAGACCGAAGTCCTCACTCTTTATCAATAATTATTATCTGTATAGCATTCCAAAAATTTGAGTCTATATGTTATATTGTAATTGACTGAACTTTTTTTTGTTTTTTGAGCGGGAATGTCAAAACCCTCTTTGCCATTTAATATTATTGTACTCCGAAATGACGTTATTGCTATTAAGCATCATCTCAGAGTCTGCTTTAACATGCATACATTTTTCTCCTCCGCACAACAAATCTCTTTGTTTTGCAAAACTCCTGTGTCAATCACAAAATCCATTGTTATAGACTGAACTAGTTTTGATGAGCGGGAATGTCAAATCCCTCTTTGCCATTTAATAATCGTACTCCGATTTGTCATTATTGTTATCAAGCATTTTGTTTCTTCCCAGCCCCTCTATTTTGCGTGTCAAAAATACACCCTTTACTCGGGCGGTCGGGCTCCGCTCTGTTGCTCCTAAGCAATTATTGTAACTGTGACCAAGATGGGTCTTATTGTATTTTTATTTGTGTTATATTTTGAAGTTACCCGCACACTTGCACTTCGTACACACACAAACGCACCAGCATCACACATGCAGTTGTTCATCCTCCAAATTTTCGGTACTTTACATAATACGTATCGTTAAATGAATTCGCACGCGCACACTCCCGATATTCTTGTCGACGATATAAACGAGAGCAAATACTACACACCCCAAGAATTCAAAAATTCATTTTCTTACAAACCAGACAATATTTCACTTTTACATATAAACTCCAGAAGTCTGAACAAAAATTTCGAATACGTTGAAAACCTTTTACACTCTTTAAATAATTTTGCATTTTCCGTCATTGGAATAAGTGAGACTTGGTTACATCAGAATTCTCCAGATATGTTCAATTTGCCTAATTATAAGTTGATTAGGGCGGACCGCAAAGGAAGAAGAGGTGGCGGTGTTGCGTTTTATATTACACAAAACATAAACTTCAAAATCCGTTCAGATATTAAACTAACACAAGCTGAATCTTTATTTATCGAAATTAATAACTCAAATGCCAAAAACGTCATCATAGGTTTGATTTATAGACCCCCTGATTCTAATTGTGATTTATTCTGTGACGAACTGGATTTTTATCTTCATAAAATAGGGGATGAAAATAAACACAATTTTATCCTTGGTGACTTTAATATCAACTTCTCACCCTCATCTGATAACAGTAACTCAACCAATTGTATGCAGTTGATGCATTCATACGGCTTTTTTTCGATTATTAATAAACCCACCAGAATAAATCCACATTCATCAACTCAGATTGACAATATTTTTTCAAACGTACATAACAACAAAACCATCGGTGGAATATTGTGTTCTGAAGTGTCGGATCACCTACCCATATTTTTAACTTGTGAATGCAAACTATCTGGCCGTAAATCATTTGATGAGCTTATATATCGCAAAGAATCCAAACGTAATATAGAATTGCTGAAACAGGATTTATTTTTCGAGGGATGGACTGAGGTATATAGTGTAAATGATGTCAATACTGCATATAAACATTTTAGTAACAAATTGCAATATTATTATGAAAAGAATATTCCTTTAGGCAAAATGAGTAATAAGCGAAATAAACCCAGGAATCCTTGGATAACTAAAGGTTTATTGAAATCAATACAAACACGCAATCGCCTCTACAAATTACATTTACACAATCCAACTGACACTAACCTAAACACATATAAAATTTATCGAAACAAATTAACAAAACTTATCCGTACATCCCGTAGATTGCATTTTTCTAATAAAATAAAAAAGGCCAGTTCAAACACAACTGCAACTTGGAAAATTATCAAAGAGGTAATGGGAAAAAAAAACGAATCCCCCACCCACGGATAATATCACATTAAATGGCACTAAAATACATGATCCTAGTCTTCATGCAAATTCATTTAATTCATTTTTTACGAATATCGGCCCAGAACTCGCCAGCAAAATTAATAGAACTCACGCACACTTTAAAGACTATCTTTCCAATCAAAACCAAGAGTCCCTCTTTTTAAATCCGACAAATCCTAGCGAAATTATTAACATTACCCAATCTCTTAACAACTCAAAATCGCACGGTTTTGATAAAATAAGTATGTCTCTCCTAAAAGAAATAATGTATCCACTTGCAAAGCCTTTAACTCACATATTTAATCACTCGTTATCGCAAGGTGTTTTCCCTGATTTATTAAAACTAGCTAAAGTCAACCCCATTCTCAAAAAAGATGATCCTCACGAAATTAGTAACTATCGTCCAATTTCCCTACTCCCAAGTATATCTAAAGTCTTAGAAAAGATCGTTCATAATAGGCTACACAAATTTATCACTAAACACAAAATACTCAATTCAAATCAATATGGCTTCAGAAAAAATTACTCAACTGACTTAGCATTAATTCAAATTTATGACAAAATTACAAGTGCCATAGCTAACAAAGAGCATGTTATAGGTATATTCTGTGACTTGAGTAAAGCATTTGATACGCTCAATCACGCTATTCTACTCTCCAAACTCAGTCATTACGGAATTCGGGGTCAGCCACTCTTATGGTTTAAAGATTATTTAACAAACAGAAGACAATATGTTACATTTAATAGTTATGATTCTGATCCTCTTTTAATTCAATGCGGTGTTCCTCAAGGCTCCATCTTAGGTCCACTGTTATTTCTTCTTTATGTAAATGATATTATCAATACATCCCCCCTTCTTTCTTTTATCTTATTTGCCGATGATACAAATATCTTTTATTCCCATAAAGACCTTAATTCGTTAAACAATACTTTGAATTATGAAATTAACAAAGTATCAGATTGGTTTAAATCCAATAAACTTTCACTTAATACAAAAAAGACTCATTTCATGTATTTTAAACATCATTCTCATAATACAGAAACACCTATATATATTAAAATCGATGGTATGCTACTAGAGAAGAAAACTAATTCCAAGTTTTTGGGTGTTCTTATAGATGAAACCTTGACTTGGAATGATCATTTACACCAAGTTACAATGTGCATTTCCAAAAGTATTGGAATAATCTCCAAGTTAAAGTTTCTTCTACCCCATGCAACCTTATTCCTACTATATAATTCGCTAGTTCTCCCGTATATAACATATTGTAATAGTGTATGGGCAAATTGTGGTTCGACAAAAATCAATTCTATTTTCAAACTGCAAAAGAAAGCCATACGTATTTGTACAGGTTCGCATTTCTTAGCTCACACTGATCCTTTATTCTATAAACTTAAAACACTAAAAATTTTCGATCTGAACACTACTCAAGTAGCAGTTATTATGTTTAAGTACATTAATAATCTGCTTCCACCATCCTTTGATAACATGTTTAGGTTTAATAATTCCGTTCATTCATACTCTACTCGCATATCTGGAAACTTCCATCTTACAAACCCCAAATTATCAATAACACACAAATCTGTTAGACATTCTGGCCCGGACATTTGGAATGATTTACCCGACAACATAAAGTCTTGTTCAACCATCTACTCCTTAAAAGCTACACTTAAACGACAAATAATACAATCATACGCTCCCCCTCTCTAAATTAGTATAACAAAACCGTGACTTATTTATTCTTTATCATGCAACTGCTCACTGCACCTGCACTTGCACCGCACCCTCTTGGTCACTCAGTTTTTCGAAGAGAGTTATGTCGCCAATTCTTTTTACGAGGCCGCCATCCATCTCCAGCCTAACCGCTCACGATGGCGGTCTCCTGCGTTCCAAATTACCTCTCTAATTTATTGAAAATATTTCATATTTCTTATGTTATTGTATGCTTCGTACATGTTTATCGAATGATATAATTGAACATGATTTTTCATTTAATTACTTTTGTAAACATTGTATTCATTGTATTTGTTATTGTTCGAAATTTTGTACTTTGAATTTGAATTTGTATATTTTTGAACGCAGAAATAAAATCAATCAAACAAACAAACAAATAACAATAACAATTGACAACAGACTTAACTCCGTTTCGTTGACAATCAGCCATGCATGAAGTCTTTCTTCTACGGCTGATTGTCAACGAAATGGAGTAAAGTCTTTTGTCAACTCTGTTTGTTGCTACGGCAGGCACCCAGTGAAAACGAATTTGTTTGATAACATTTTGGAAATGCAAGCACTACTTTAAACAAACAACTTTGTCATTCCTTGCTCATTTTTCCTAATTGAGGTGTCATATGAAAGGGCAGAAACTCAACTTTCTAGAAATGTGATTTTCTCCTTGAAATTCAGATACCATCTGTCAAATTACTTTTTGATTTCCTCTCTTCAAATTCATTTTAATCACTCATGCGTGAAATATGTATTATATGAGTTGCATCTTATGAAAGAGGAGGATCTAAGCTTTGCAAATATACGCAAGATCAATGTTGTTATTGTTGATTGTTGGATATTTTGTGTAATGTCCCCTGCACTTACAGAACCCTAGATCTGCCCTAGTTGTAAGAGTAACAATTTTTTCTTTCTCTTTATTTAGCACCATGTAAAACTAATACGGCCTACATCGACCTTACTGTAGAAAGCAGCATCACTGTAGACTACCAATACACTAGCGCATACGGACCACGATCATTACTTTACACATATGTGGAAGCTGATCCCCTACCCAATACATTGTTCAACGTCGGAGTTACACCGGTGAACGTTATGTACGGTGCTCAGATCAATTACTCGTGCATCTTAAACGTAAATGTAATAGGTAAGTATTAAACAGGTATACTATATTTTCAAGTGAACAATGGAGTCAAAAATCTTTTATTGTAAAGTATTAAGTTACATGTATTTCCTCTTGCATTCCTTCAGGGCATTTTGGTGTCAAATGATTATTTCATTAATAAGTTAGAGATAAAGCTTGTGTGCGTAGTATAGTACGTGTAGAGGTTAAAGGGCTCGTGTGCATGGGCCTATTCTTGCGCGCGCAGCACTATGCGTAAATGGGTATAGAGGTAAGTGCGCTTGCTATATCTATAGCTATGTGTGCGCACTAAAGTAAGCCGTATTAAACTTGAAATTTATTTGTCAACCATATACTGTCACGAAACAATCTTGAATTCTTTTTACATCAAATAACAAGGATGTAGGAGTTTCACTGTATAAAACTCATTCGTTCATTCTACGATCTATCCGCCCTCGTTGATGCTGTGTGTTTCTATCGCACTCACCCTAACGGCTTCGTGCAATAGATACACAAAGCCTCAACTTGAGTGCGGATAGATCGTATATTGAACTCATGCGCATGCATCATTTGTATACTATTCGCTTTTCATAAGGACCATTATTCATAAGGACCGCTATTTATAAGGACCGCTATTCATAACGTGTAACTTCCCATAACGGCAGGTCCGCTATTCATATTGGGAGAAGAGGGTCACTGTTCATAAAGAAATAGGGTTCGTTGATCATAAGGATTCATAATGTGAGATGAGAGTTGCTATTCATAATTCATATTTAGGGTCATTAATCATAAGGACCGCTATTCATAAGGTGAGATGAGGGTCGCTATTCATTATTCATATTGAGGGTCATTAATCATAAGGACCGCTATTCATAATATGAAATCGGGGTCGCTATTCTTAAAACGAGAAGAGGGTCGCTATTCATAATTTAAATTAGGGGTCACTACTCATAAGGATCGCAATGAGGGTCTCTTTTCATAATACGAATAGAGGCCCTTTGATGGCAACGCTGCTACCCCTATCGCCCCCCTCCCCCGTGAAACACACACAGAGGCTACGCCATCAAGAATTGGCGGTCATATGCACTTGTACCAAGGAAATACTTCGGGGAGGGTGGGTCGAATGGTGCAGCGTGGTTGAAATGATGAGGGGGGGGGGGGGGGGCTGGGGCCGGGATGATGGGTCATGTATATATTACAATATGTTTTCAATAAATGTTTTCTACAGATATTCGGGGCCATGTGGCGTCTCCCCCCCCCCCCCATGCCTAAGCCACAACAGTTGGGTGTCCCACATCCATCATTTTGCTTTCTTATTATCATTTTATGAATAGCGACCCTCTGATCGTATTATGAATAGCGACCCTCTTCTTGTGTTATGAATAGCGCCCCTTTTCTAGTATTATGAATAGCGACCCTTTTGAATAACGACCCCGATTTCGTATTATCAATAGCGACCCTCTTCTCATATTATGAATACCAACCCTCTTCTTAAATTATGAATAGCGCTCCTTATGAATAATGACCCTTATGAACAATGACCCTTTTCTCAAATTATGAAAAGCGGTCCTTATGAATAGCGGTCATTATGAATAGCGACATTGACCCGAGTGAGTTACCAGGCCTGCATGGCAAAGCAGCGATGGACCATTTTCACGTGTGGCTTTTGTCTTTCATATTAAATACAGCAGGGATTCACATTATTAGTATTATTTGTAACTATCATATAATTAAGTTTTAATTTTGTTAGATTTTCTATGTACATGTAGGTTATTGTTGTTGGTGTTGTTTTGTCCGTACGTCTGTACGTCCCATTCTCGTGATTGCGTTATCTCAAGAACCAATTGATGGATTACCACCAAGTTTAATTGGGTCCTGTATGTATCTTGCAGAGCTTAAGAATTGATTAGATTTTGGAGTCACAAGGTAAAAGGTTAAAGGTCACAGGGCTTATGTATGCAAAACTGGCTTGTGATCACGTTATCTCAAGAACCGATAGATGGATTACCGCCAAACTTGGGTCATGTATGTATCTTGCAGAGCCAATATAAACTGATTAGATTTTGAGGTCAAAGGTCATGGGGCTCATTATGTATATGAAAAATTGCTTGTAAATAAGATATTCTGTGAACCTGTTAATGGATTACAATCAAACTTGAATTTTTTTGTAATTGCTTGTATCCAATATTCTGTGAACTTGTTAATAAAATCAAACTTGATTTTTTTTTTATTGCTTCTGTTTTGGGTTTGTAAAATCGCTCTATGGCAGAGGCATCTTTTTTGACTGCGTGCAGTCGAGCATTTATCTAGTTATTTTCATCATCATCACTATCGTCATCAATGATCATCACTGTCGTCATCATTATAGGCCTACCTGATATCACCTCACTTGCATGCCTCTGTGACCTGCTCTGTGTGTTAATAATCTTGTGTACAACTGTATATACCCACCTCCCTCCTTACAGCGATTGTTTCCCCTGACTGTCCGGAGAACGTGATGGTAGAGGTTGGCCCCGGTATTAGAACAGCATCAGTATCAGCAAACTGGCAACTTGCTACTTCGACACACGGTAATGTGTTCCCCATTCTCTACACTCCGGCCGATGGGTCCTCCTTTTCTCTTGGAAACCATACTGTCACTGCTTATCTGACTGGTTATCCACACTACAACTGTAACTTCACGGTCACTGTAGTGGGTGAGTGTGTGTTCATAACCATGTTTTAGAGAAAAACGGTCATTTATTGAAGTGTGATATAAGAACGTATTATTTAAATCTAGAGGTCTATACACGAATAAACAGTGTTTATACTTATAGGTAAATGTAGATCGCTACATGTATTCAAGCATAGTAGTGCGTTCGTCATGGGGAATTTGACACCAATCTGGTGTATATACCCAATAACAGGTATTGTCAGTTACCCAGAGTGGACTTCAGTTGCAGATCTTGTTGCTTATCTGGTCTTCATTGGTTATAAGTCTCAAAAAGAATTATGTATAAGCTATTACTCATTACTTACAAAACACTTGTTCATTTTTCGCCATTACTTGTATCAGATTTTGAAACCGCACACCCCACAACGGAATTTACTTTTAGGTTCACAGCTCCAGTTATGTACACCCAAAACCCATAACAAATGGGGGGACAGGGCTTTTGCTAACGTTGTACCCAAATCATGGAACACTTTACCATTATAAGACAATCATCATCAATTGAAATATTTAAGAAGAAACTTAAGCACCATTTGTTTATGTCGTAGTTTTAATATTGTTATAAATATTTTGATGTTGTACAACAGCGCCTTGAGCAGTCTTTTAGAATGGATATGTGCGCTTTATAAGTTGACATTATTATTATTTTTAAAGCACTAGCTGTGCCCTAGCTTATCACCGTATGGAATTCTCATCATCATATCAAATTTCCCTCACCCTCAAGATATAGGCAAATTGGAGTATTTTCTGATGGGACCACAGGTTCGCCGCTTCAGAGACCTTTGCACATACAGACAAATTAATTGGTAATTTGACCAAATCTAGTGTCAGCAAATTATACGATGCACATGGACGCTAACTACCCTGTGGCTTTAACAAGCACGGTCAAAGTCGTTTTGGACCTTAAGGTGAATTGACCTAGTGCTAGAGAGAGTCAACAATTAGCAGATTGACATGCCCATGCATGCCTCCCCCCCCCCCCCCCCACCACTACCCTTTTAGAAACCCAAGTATCTCCTGGAGTCAAAAACATGTAACACTGCTACATGAATTTGTAGGATAGGGCACAACAAACATATTATTTCAATAATGAAAGAATATTTGAACCTTGTTTAACCATTACGAAATTATGTAGATGATGTAGCCCTTCTCCTGTCTTAATCATGATCTTCTGCTACCATCTATTTCATATTTTCAGGAATTAGCACTTCAAACATCTTGTTGGAAGATATAAAAATCAGTGTTTTCTGGTAGGCATCCTATCATGCATCATATGTTCTAAAGAATTAGACATAAAAGGACATTTTTGATGCAAAACAAAATTTTAAAAATAGTTCAATTCAAACATAACTTGTGAATTAAGAACTTAATGAGAAGGTTCTCTAATAATCCCCAATCACAAAAATTGAACCTTTTTTGCTCTCATAAGTTATTATTTGCCCAAAATCAAACTTTCGCAAACTTCCTTTTTCCACTCATTCTGTAATCAATCAAAGGCAGTTCTCTTTGACATCCTTCTGAATACCTCTCCCATTTGAGCACCGAAATCGGTAGCCTTTCAGAGCGGGGGCAATATTGCAGCACCTTGAGCGCCTTCTGTGGGGCATATGCGCGCTGTATGAATATCCAATATTATTATTACAACTTTCTGAAGTTCTTTCTTATGGTTCATAATCACACTGTGCCACATTGTATGTACCTTGGCACCATGAACTTGTATGATCTAATGCAAGTTAACATTTAATATTTCTTTAATCTTAAGTATGTTGAATATTAATTTAAATTATTTGTATTCGCCTTGAGCATCTCTAGAGATGGATGTGTTGTGCTTTATAAATATTGTTATTATTATTATTATTATCAAATTTTCTTCCAACTGTCACTGATTTGTGCCTCTCATTTGTTTATACTTTAAATAATGCAAGATTGTTTTTTAATTCTCAACTCACTAATGGTTTATCTCATTTTCTTCAAATTTTGACTGATTTGTATGTGCCTCAAACTCAAATTTGGTTATGCTTGTAATAATGCAAAATCATTTACAGGGTAAATTATTAATTAAACATGACTTGTACTCTCACTTCTTTATTAACTCTTTCCATTATTATAGAGGATTTGTCACCACCGGTGTTCTCGACGGACTTAGATGTTTTAACTTTTCACAATTCCCAAGCACCAAGTTGGGTACTGACTGCCAGTGATAACTTGGGTGTTGTCACGCTGACATCATCACCTAGTCCTGGCTCATACTTTCCTCTAGGCGAGACCGAGGTGACTGTTACGGCCACCGACAATGCCATGTTTACCTCAACCGAAATATTTACAGTCCGTGTCGTATGTAAGTTATTCACAAGATTCCTGGGAACTGCGGGAATTGAATACAATATAGTGAAGCAAGCACTTACCGTTTTTGACAGTTTTGAAACTGTTCATCCCAAGATCATTTCAGTGATTCTTTTTTTTTAAAGATTTACTCTGGATTTTATGTTATTTTAAGTCATATATTATTAAGAAATGTGTGTCTCATCAGCTAGAGAATTGAAATGAAAAGTAAGCTTGTTAGATACATGTTTGTGAGAAAAAAAATCTTAGTAGTAGTAAAAACTCAATCAGTATTATTTCCTATCATTGATATCATTAGCTGACGGTTCACCACAAACGACAAACTGTCCAGAAGATCAACTGCACAAGGTCGCACCGTCTGAAGTACCTCGTGCAGTTACCTGGTCAGTGCCAAGTGCCACAGGATCAGGGACTATTACAACCACCAGCAACTATAGTCCGAATGACATGTTTAGAGAAGGCACGACCAAAGTCACCTACAAATTCACAGATGATGCTGGCAGGAGTTCCAAATGCTTTTTTTACATCAAAATCACAAGTATGTGCATATCCAGTATTTATACTTGGTGATATCCACCATGGTCCTCATGTTATAAAACAATGAGGAAGAAAAAGCTTAGTATATGAGATACTTTGGAATACTATGATGGTACAATTTCAGGGTATTAATTAGATACTGTTAGATAGCCTTCAACTCTACAGAATTTACCTACTTCGTTTTTTAGCTTAAATGAAAGAATGAATAAATAAATGAATGATTATTATAAAAAAGATAGATGAATAGATGGAAAAATGAATTAATTGAAAAATGAAGGACTAAATAAATAAGTAAATAACTAACTGGCTAAAATTAAGGAATAAAGTAATATTTTGAATAGATGTATTTCAAAATTTGTGAATTTCACCAAAACCTAATTCCGTTTCCTCGTCAATAAAGGATGTGTTTATTTATCTTCTTGAAACACAGAAAAATTACTGGACGCATGAAATAATTCTTTTTTAAATCAAAAAATTATACAAAAATATTTTTTTAAAGGGATATCGATGGTATCGCTTCCCGATATTGCGAGCATCCAGTAAAATTATCTACATAGTAATTGACCAATCCAATTGCAGGGATTCTTCTACCCATCATTCTATAACATGTCTTTATCCATCAGTAAATGCTGACGTAATAACACCAGACGTCACTTGTCCTGGCGATGTGACAGTTACGAAGCCCGCAGGGACGGTACTTGCCTCAGTCACCTGGAACGAGCCTGTGTTCAACAACCTTGTAAGTCGTGCTGATCTCGTTTATATACAGCAGTCAAAGCAATCCGGTTCAAGCTTTACCGAAGGCTCCACTGAGGTGCTGTACTCGGCTCTGGATGGAAAGTTTAACAGGGCATTGTACTGCATGTTTACAGTGACTGTAAATTGTGAGTATTATTGTACCTATACATGTGTTAGTGGCGGATATGTAACAAGCAGGCCTGATAATTCCCATAAATCTCCATGTATAAGATGCACTTTTTCCCGCCGAAAAAAAAAATCGAAAGTGGGGTACAATTTTTTTTATTTTTTTAAAGTTTTGATTTATGCCCTCCACCTGGCAATGTCCCCCAGCTCAGTCATACCACTCGAAAACTAGAACAACACTACCTGAATGTCAGGATTTGTGTTTGGACTTAGAGGAAAATTTGTCTGTCATCTTTAGCTTTAAAAACTAATTATCAGAATAATGAACATTTGTTTTTATAACTAAATGTTCATTATTATGATACCTTCATTGTTACTAAATGTTCATTATTCTGATAACTTCTTTGTTACTATTTTTTGTGACGAGATCATTATTCTGATAACTTTATTGTTACTATTATTTGCGACAAGTTCACAAGCAAAAAATTGGCGTCTCCAACTGCACCTCGCAGTAAAATGAAGGTCCTTCCCCGCATACGTTTTTGAACACAGACCTGGCTTACTGGCTACGAAGTCGGGCAAAAAACCTTTAAAGACCCAACTATATGCCATATTTGCCAACAGAAATACATTTCATGAAGTGATATTTACATATATACAAGAAGAGAAAAATTGGCTGTTAAAGGGGGTCAGTTAAGTATATATTGACTGCTATGAGATGCATCTCTGTTTCTATAGACTCGATGTGCGCCGTTATACATGTACATGTACCTAGAATATTAAAGCAGTCCATATATCTTTTAAATACCAAATTCATGAACAAATGTACAAAGAATTCTTACCTTATCCTTTTCTTGAGTAAAGAATAATTAAATCTTTACAGAAAATTTGAGACACTGTCTGTAAATCTTCGCTAGAAAGTTGCCTGAATGTTACGATCATTTGGGAATTGCACACACACTTTACTGTAAGGTATCCGCGCTCGCTAAAAGAAACTTATTACACGTAAAGCAATTTAACCATTCGGCCCGGCATCTTTTCTCATTAATTATTGACCGTTAGGCGGGCATGGCTAAAATCACGGCTCCAATTTTGACCAATCATGATGACCAGATTTATTCAACATACTAAAGAGAGGTATATAACACATGTTAGCGCTAGTCGAACCTAACCCCATACAGCTAAACAAAGTATTCAGGTACTAGTATAAAGACTATTTTCATTCATGATTTGTTCAATGTGTTGTAACAGAATTCTGACACCTATTTATAAATCTAGTTAAGCTGACATTAATAGGTACCGGTAATCTATTCCAAAATTCACTGCCCACAAAAGAAAATGATTATTAACCATGTGTTGTTCTAAATTTTGGAAGACATAATTGTCCACCAAAATCTTGCCCCAACCTCTCCTCTCCTTTGCCCTTTGTGTCCCCCCCCCCCCCCCCCCCCCCCCCCCTTACTGAGAAAATATGCAAACATGTTATTTCTTATTTGTCAGAGATTTTTCAGAGTTTTGCCACCCCACCCTAGCTTGTAGACAGGTGTACTGAAGGTATGCCACTTTGGATTTTAAGGGGGGGTATAAGCCAGTTGTGCCCCCCCCCCCCCGCCCCACAGCCTCACATCCACCAGTGGTCCTAAGAGAGCTAATGTACTTCTTGTGCAGATTAAGGAGCTGAGTTGTAGAATTGATTCGGAAAGTAAATGAATAGATAAAAATTAAGCCTTTCACTCTTTAATGTAAAAACTTTCCTAAGCAGTCAGTTGAGTTAACTCCTTTGAAAATTTCTTTTTCAGTGGTGGAAGACAACGATAAACCTGTGATCGTAGGTTGCCCTCAAAACTTCACTCACTGGGTCACTGCTGGACAGACCACGGCACCCGTTTCATGGGTAGCTCCGGATATTACCGACAATTCTAGCTTCACCGTTCAAGTCTCTCATGAACCAGGCAGCGAGTTTACAGTCGGAATGGACACCGTTGTGTCCTACGTTGCTACAGATGTTGTCAACAACATGGAAGACTGTACCTTCACCATATCTGTCAGAGGTTAGTTACCCAAGTCATATTTCCTCTGGAATTAACAATTGATTGTTTCACAAAATCCCTTGCAATATTAGCATCTTGTACAAGTTTCGAATTTAACCTCAGCATCTTACAATCCTATTTTCCATTTAAACATCGCTCCATCAGACTGTGTTCATGTTGAATGATGTCAAAGGGAATCATATCATAAAGGAAATTGATATAACTTAATTTACTATAAACAAGAGGAATCCTATATATCCAAACTGGATTTATATACATCTGCCTGGATTTAATAATTCTTTCAAAAGAATTTGCAAGAAACATCTTCTCTCTCTTTATAACGCATAATTTATTTAAGACCACACCTATATTACTAATACTCCTCCTTTTTATTTTTCCTTCTTTTTTTTCCTTTTTTTTTTTCTTCAAGTATATGTTATTATTACTTCTGCGCCTGGTGCATTCAATTGTCAAGCCTTACTGGCTTTTACGGATGCACCATTTTCCATTTTATATTTTGAATGCTGTTATGTCAATTTTATATGTAATTTTGATATTGTTACATGTTATGAAATTCCATATTTTATCTTTGTATATATTGTCATGATGATGGAAATAAATTTCAATTCAATTCAATTCAATTCAAACATTTATTTTCAGCAGAATAATGATATTGGCAAAAATTGAAGAGCCCTAGAGAGTTCAATCATTCTGAACAAGCGAGTTTTGAAATAATTATAAGGCGGTACAAATGATAAATAAAATTATTATAAAAAAATCAGTACAAGATATTAAATACTAGTGAACATTGTATGGCAAATATGGGACAAGAATTTGGGACAAGGGAGTGTGGAAATGATCATAAGGTGATAACTAAACAAAATCATATGACAATTTCCTTCTTTTCAGCGGATGCTGATGATCCGATGCTTCAATGTCCATCCAATGTCAATATTCGTGTGACCCTGGATATGACTGACCAAGTTGTAACCTGGCCGACTCCAAATGCCACTGACAACTCCGGGGGTGTCACTGTCAACTCAAACCCGGAGTCTGGGGCAGCATTCCAGGCATCAGTGGCTGGGCAAAATGACACAGTGACTGTCACGGCTGCCGATGCTTACGGAAATTCTGATACGTGTACCTTCCTCGTAAATGTCCGTTGTACGTATGAAAAACACTTTAGGCTCTTTGTTGCAGTCATATCAAAAGTGTGCATCTCTCATTAATATCTTTTCCAACATAACTCACTTCAGGTAGGTTTTAATATGGACGAGATCTCCCTACTTTGTGCCATTTTAAGAAATGCAGCATGTGTATCATGTTTACTAGCCTTCAAAACGTTGGCTTGAACACTTGATTTGTATCGATTGGTTTAATACGCAAGTCCACTTTAGTATAAAATCATATATTTATATTTGTTTGTGGCAGAAGGTTATATTCCTCCTTCATCCAGTTCAACTTGTAGGATTTCCATTTTAGAAATTAAAACCATGAATGTAGTCTTAATTTAAATTGATACCACTTCCCTCTCTGTTCAGATGATGTTCAACCAGTGCTGACTTGCCCCGATGTCAGTCAAGAAACAGCACCTGGTCAACGGGATGCCACAGTTACATGGCCAGATGTAGTTATTACTGATGACTATACTAGTGTCTCAGCGCTAGTGGTAAGAAAATCATTCCATTTCTATTCTAATAATAATAATAATATAATAATAATAGCCTAATAGTCCACTCCAAATTTTATTAAACCGAAACGGAAATTCTTTTTGCCCAATTGATCGTGAGCCCGGCAGCCACTGAGCAGCGCCAGATCGACGTTGCTCTATCCCCTTATTGTTGAACGCCAAACAAGGTAGCAACAACTCCCATCTTTTAACGTCTTTTGGTATGACGCGGTCGGGATTCGAACCCACGACCTCCCGGTTGTGAGGCGGACGCTCTACTGACTGAGCCAACACTCCGGTTAAATCCTTTTCAGCTACTATGTTTGACCTCACTGGGCCCCTTGTTTTGTGTCCCTTCTGAAATCATTCGAGTCGGAAGGGTGTAGGAATCGGGAATTGTGTTCCCTTCTGAAATTATTCAAGTCGAAAGGGTGAAGGATGGGGCCCACGGGGTGTGTATATACGGCCCTTCTGAAATCATTCAAGTCAGAAAAGTTTACATGTCCCAAGCCTAATGGGCTTATACATGTATATGCCAAACCTGCTCATTATTTATGCAAAAATAGCTTGTGATCTCAAGAACCAATTGATAGATTCCTGCCAAACTAGGTCATGCATGTATGTATCTTGCAGAGCCAATGATTTGATTAGATATCGGGGTCAAAGGTCACAGTGCTCATTATGTATGCACAAATAGCTTGTGATCACGTTATCTCAAGAACCAATTGATGGATTCCTCCCAAACTTGTCATGTATGTATCTTGTAGAGCCAACAAATTAATTAGATTTGGGGGTCACAAGGTCAAAGGTCACAAGGCTCATTATGTATGCATAAATAGCTTGTGATAGCATCATTAGGACCGATGGACATATTACTATCAAACACAGGACATGTATGTTTCTTGCTAAGCCAATGAATTGATTAGATTTCATGGGGTCATGAGGTCAAAGGTCATGGGGCTCATATATGCAATAATAGCTTGTGATCGCATTATTATTAGAACCGATGGACGGATTACCATCAAAGTCATGTATCTTGCAAAGCCAATAAACTGGTTAGATTTTAGGGTCATGAGGTCAAAGATAAAAGGGTCATACATGTATATGAAAATAAGCTTGTAATCACGATATTCTGAGAACCTGTTAATAGATTACAATTAAACTTGAATTTGAATAATTGCTTCTGTTTTGGTTAGTGAAATCGCTCTATGGCGGAGGCATCATTTTTTTTACTGCGCAGTCAAAGTTCCATCTAGTTACATCTAGAAATATTCAGCCCAAAGTTCATGTTGATCAAGTAGCAGATTCAGATATCTTATCGTTCTTGCCAGTGTTAAATAGCACAATGAGAATGGAAACAAAGGTAAAGAGAATATTTCAGAGTATATATGCCCAGATAGAAAACTCTTGGAGTATCAGGAAGGCGATTTCAGATGAGGTGGCTGCCGTAATTGAACATGCCTTAAAAAGATCACGGTTAGACTGTAAGGCTGTACATAACCCTTGAGTGGTGAGTTGACCAGAGATGCCAACCAGTACAATTAAATTGTATTTAGTACGATAATAAGAATGAAATACGATATTACGATATCACCTCTTAAAATAAGATTTTTCATCTGTAAAAGAAAAGAAAAAAAGCCATATTTACTGGGGTAAGTCAAATTTTGTTATGTCACTAGTCAGCATGATAAAGATAAGAATAATAATATTATTTGTCTTTGTTTTCATGTGATACAAGATTATGTTGCTCTTGCCATGACAATATTGGACTCGTCTCCGACTCGTGCAATATTGTCATAGCTCGAGCAATATATTCTTGTATCACACTCCAGGGGGGTGCAAAACAGCCGCGGGCCCCCTCCCCCCCCCCCTATTGGCAGCGCCAAAAAAAAGAGGAAGAAAGGAGAAGAGAAAAAAAAAGAGGAATAAAGGAGAAGAGAAAAAAAAAGACAGAGACAACGGGATCGATATCCCTGAATTTTGGATGCGTACGATACGCCGCGATGACACTCCCCGTCCAGCCAGCCCGCACCGAGCCAGCGACCCGTGGATTAGTTGAGCATGCTATTGTTCTCGCCTGGCAGGCGAGCCGACAAACGAAAATCACAAGCGATATTATTTTCCATACTATACCCGCAATGAGTAATATATTTAGCTTCATGTATGAATATTGGTTCAATTTGTAATAAATAAGATATATATAGGCTGATCATTTGATAATTTGACCATATATGCTTCAAAATAAAAAAAGTCTTATTGAATTGAACACATTGTTGCAACAAAATCTCTTTTTTTTGTTTATAAAAGCAAAACGAAGCAAAAAAACATGGTGCTGAGCGCTTTCTCAGATCATCTTTTGGAGCTCAATCCTTGAATTGCGCTTTACTTAGACCAAGAGTGTTGCGATAACAAATAAGCAATCAAGTTAGAGACCATCACTGGTGTGAGCTAGAACTTCTGAGTGGACCTGAGCTGTAACTACGCTAGTCAAGCTTCTTGAAGAGTGATCTTGGACGTACGTTTATTGGCTAGCCAACACAATAATGTCGGTATCTGTTGTTTCTGACGAGTAAGGGCCAATTGTTGCTCAAAGCTAGGTCAGCGGGTGGGCTCTGCGTGTTGTCGGTAGCTAGACTTCGGTCGCGAGGAGATGCGTGTTGCAGACCTGCCAACCAGTACGATTTAGTCGTATTTAGTACGATTTTTAGAAGCAAATACGACAGTACGATTTTCCTTAATAAAATACGATTTTCAACAACAACAAAAAAAAAAAAAAAAAAAAGTGTTTTTTTTTATTTTTTTTATATTTTTTTTTTAATTAATATTTTGTGTGTGCGTCCGCCATTTTCAATGGCAAAATGTGCATTCTGTCCTGTACAGTATCCTACAAGCATATCACATCAGCGATTTGGGGATGTTCATTGGTTCATCGAACACACCAGTCATGACGAAATCATGCATATTCAACCAATGATCAATAAAAAAAATTCTTCCTGTAGGTAAAAACTGTAAGAGGCATTTATCCGCGTAACAATCCGTGTTTATTTTCAAGAATACAACTTTTGTCAGTAAAATACAACTTTTGGGACTAAAGAATACAGTTTTTGAACTCCAGAGGTTGGCAGGTCTGGTGTTGTGTAGATGTGCCTTCATGGGTTGGGGATCCAGCCTAGAAAGGGGCAGGCATTCCACGGCTATCTCTCCATTTACCAGCAGAAAAATGTAGTGTATCCTTCCATTTCAATAAAAAAAATTCTTCCTGTAGGTAAAAACTGTAAGAGGCATTTATCCGCGTAACAATCCGTGTTTATTTTCAAGAATACAACTTTTGTCAGTAAAATACAACTTTTGGGACTAAAGAATACAGTTTTTGAACTCCAGAGGTTGGCAGGTCTGGTGTTGTGTAGATGTGCCTTCATGGGTTGGGGATCCAGCCTAGAAAGGGGCAGGCATTCCACGGCTATCTCTCCATTTACCAGCAGAAAAATGTAGTGTATCCTTCCATTTCTTTTTCTCTTCTCTATCTAACTTGGTAAGATCATCAATCACAAGGGCTCATCGTAACGGTCCTAAAGATAAGGATTTTCGAAGACATATGTTGTTGAAAATGCTAAATATGAACATCCCAAATGGGATGTTCAATCATTTTTAACTGCATTAACTAAAAATGAACTGTGCAGATGTAGATTAACATTTTTAATGCAAAGTACATTTTTTGCCATAATTTAATTGAGGTGATTGGAAATATAGTCACAGTTTGTTAAAACATAAGGAAAAACTGTGGGCATCCTATCTGGCACTTCATATTCAAGTCGTTCATAAATTCATGCGTACCTTTACGAACAGCTTTATGAAACACCCCCCTGATTTAATAGCATTTTCACCAACATATGTCTAGGAAAATCTCTTATCTTTAGGACCATTACGATGAGCCCTCTCGATTACGTCAAGTGCAATTTTTTAGGGTTTCAATATTACACCCTATCACAGACACTGATAACATGTATGGCCATGCATCTAATCAATTATACCTTTTCAAACGAAGTCCAAATACATGGTTGACTGGTTATCCCTCTTGGCCATAGTGATTGCTGTGTATTAATAGAGCTCCCACGTACACACCTCGACTTGAAAGCCAATGTAAGCCAATGTAACGTTTTGTTATTATTATTCTTGTCCTGCAGATCACCAAGTCCCACGGGTCAATGATTGCCAACATGCAGTACGATGCCGACCTGGTAACCGTCACCTTAACAGCTCAAGATGAGCTGGGTAACATAGGGAGATGCACATTCACTGTTGATGTTGTAGGTGAGTGGGAAGGACTTGATGGAATCCATAGGTGTATTTACGAGATGGGGTTAAGCTTTGCCCCCTTAGACAGAATCTATTAAATTGAATTGAATCCTGACTTGAATTGAACTAAAATGCATTGAATGGAAATTAGTTTGAGTTGAATTAAAATTATCGAACTGATTTGAATGCAAGTGAATTGAATTGAATTAAATTAAATTTATTCAACTTTCTCATAAGAAACATGCAGAGGCGAAAAATCCATTAAAGATTTCCCACAAATATAGTCAAACAGTTGTGGTTGGATTTATTTATATATACCAGCCCAATCACACTTTAAAAAGGTGATGCTCCAAAGGTATAGGGGACATTCGATACTGTGCCCCCTCCCACCACCAAGTTTAGGAAAAGCCTAATTAGCATGAGGGGAACTTGCATGAAATCAAGAATAGTTATGTTTTATGATAAAAGCATAGTCTTCATACACAAGAAAGCAATTGCTAGTCACTTGGAAACGTTTGCTTAGCTTTTGTATCAAGTGTTAAGCTCTCTTAGCTAAACGAATTTGGCCCAATTTGATTCAACCTTGTTTTACACAGACACAGAGAAACCAGTGTGGTCAGCGTGTCCCATGAACGTTACTGAAATGGCCGAAATTGGAACTAACTCCAAAGTTGTATCTTGGGACGACCTTCTGTTAGTGATAACTCAGGCAAGGATCCCATCGAGACTAACAACCCTCCAACCTCTCAGCTCTTCTCAGGGGGTACTTGGCCTGTGGTCTATACGGCTACTGATGACTCCGGTAATACTGGAACATGCGAGTTCTACGTCACTGTGATTGGTACATACTTATATTTAGTTCAATTTTAATATAAAATTAAACTTTTTTTTTAACAGCAATCGATGTGCAGGATATGATTACAAGAAATGTATGTTCGCCGGGGACATAGATCTGCACACTACAGGAAAATTCAATAAATTTGTGTGCATGGCAATTAATGCCCAAAGCATGCTTTACTAGCTTTTGATTTCTAAAATGAGCAAAAGAAGACAGACTACAATAAAGAATACACAGATACCATTGTAAAACAAACAATATTTCTGAATATTTCATTAGGCCTCATTGTCAATGTCATGTAATTGAGTTGGAAATTCATGTCAACAGATTTTGCAATTTAATTTTATGATATGGATGCTAATTTTGATATTCCTTTCAATTTAGAACATTGATATTTCCATTCAATATCCTCCATTATTCTAGTCGACGATGATGTGCCAGAATTCACCAACTGTCCGACGAGTCCAGTGAGATTTAACTCGGACGCGAACACCAACTCAGCCGTAGTCGACTGGGGTGATATCACTGCTACAGACAACTCTGGGACCCCTACGGTAACATCCAACTATGCCAGGAATCAGCGTCTTGACATCGGATCATACGACTTGGTGTACCAAGCTCGAGATATCCATGGCAATGTAGCATTCTGTAGATTCAACGTCTTAGTGATTGGTGAGTAGTTCAGCCACAGCAGTCCAGAGTTTTCTGCAGCTCTACATAAATCAGCGTTTCCTCCTCAAAGTGGCAGCAAATTTTGTGTTTTTTCAAGTCTTTTATTTTTTTGTTTTTAAATGTATATTATATGAAACAGTGTGAAGGAAAATTACCACAAATCAAACGAAAAATAGTTTTGTAAACAAAAATTAGTGATCATAAATTCCTGTGTACGTTGCCAATTTAGAGGCTTCAATGATTATTTTGGATTAAATCATCCTTGTTCAAAAATGATACAATATACTGCAAGAAAAAAGTTTTATTGTGATTTGTTCACATTTTGCACATGTACAAGTTGTAATTCAGAACATTCTGGATCAAATGATAAACTTAAAATGGTACTGAAAGGTTACACTAAATTGCTCTGGGTTCCAGGGGAATGTTAGCCCCAGCTTCCTTGTCATGGATGAAGAATCCTGCCCAAGACTTTAATGTGTTCCAATGAAGAATGACTGCATGTCTGTTTCTACCTTAAAGGTACTACGGGATAATGTCCCATTTGCAGCCAACGTCAAATTCTGTAGAACTTTGCACGAATTATGAATATATATATATGTAAGGTATGTCCTATCTGTGAAATTTAAACGTTAGCAGTGTCCTATGATTCAAGTTATGCAAAGAAATTAACCCGTTTACTTTCCAGACTTCACTGTCAGACACTATTGAGCAACTGATTAACTTCTTTTTTTCCTTGGTAATAATTCAACATATATAAAATGAGCTAAAAGGGTACATAAAGCATTTGTCTACATCAATAACCCACTTCTTTTAATGGCCTAAATTAAACTAATCGAATCGTTGCGCAGCACAGATGGTACGACCATTAGGTACAAGGGTCTGAAAATCAGACAATTGCAATCACTAAAGTCAATTCGATTCAGTGGTTTTTTCCCCCCAAAAGACGTTTTCAAGCCCTTTCTTTTTGAAGGAAGCTCTAACTTAGTATTATCTTTTAAATGCCATTGGAATTTAACCTTTTCATTTTTGGGGGGCCTGCAAATGGGATGTATACCTGTAAGGCACAGTTTCACCTTTTTCACTTTATTTGAATGAAATAGAATTCGATAGTCAAACAAAGACCTAAAAAACATGAGCAATTGTTTGGATAACGATTGTTGCTGGCTGGTCGATCGTATAACGATGCTGACCGGCTTTGATTTCGGTTTTCAAACACCCTGAAATAAGTACAGTGGGCTTTACGTGAAGTAGATGGTCTCCAAGTATGAGTTTCGATGTCAATTATAAAACACTGTTCAAAGGTTCACTGTTCAACAAAAAATAGATAGGTGATCTTCCTGTATTGGTATATCTATGCTAAAGCAGGTTGCACATTCCTCTCTGTCTCTCTCTTTCTCTCTTTCTTTCTCTCTCTCTCTCTCTCTCTCTCTCTTTCTCCCTCTCTTTCTCTTACTATCCCTCTCTCTCTCTCTCTTTCAGATGGTGAGGCCCCAGGATTTGTTGCATGCCCCGATTCATTCAGTGTATTCATTCTCAGCTCACAGCCTTCAGTCAGAGTCACGTGGACAGAACCAATGTTCATGGACAACTCGTTTGCGGGTCCCGTCACAGCAATGCCATCACCCGGCAGTAGTCTACCAGGATCACAACTGGCTCCTGGCGCACATCTCATTGAATACATGGCAATGGATGCCCAAGGAAACACTGCCTCCACCTGCTCATTCACTGTCAATGTCATAGTTCAGACAGGTACTCATGTCACTTTCTTTATCTTTTGTCTGTGTTCTAAGTGCTACTGCCATCATCATAATAATCAGGTTAAATATGATAATAATATAAATATAATGACTGCTATGAGACAGATAGTTGTTTTTATAGGCTCAAGGGGACGTTGCATCCTGCTATCACTTGAGGCACGCCGAGGGGTGATAGCAGGATATAAAGTCTCTGAGAGCCTATGAAAACAAATATGCCTCAAATATTAAAGCAGTCTTTATATCCTTTATATACCTAATTCATAACAAAATCTATAAAGAACTCTTACCTTATCCTTTCCTAATTGAGTAAAGACTGGTTAAAACATCACAGAAAATCGGAGTTGTTTGAATGTTGTTTGAATGGTACAATCATTCAGGAATTGCACACATTCTGCACTGTATTTTGTCTCCGCACTCACACAAAGAATCTTTTCACACGTAAACCAATGGGGATCTCACCAAAAATTATTTATGCAGCCAGTTAACCGGGGCATGCGGGGATCTTTTAAAAGACTATTGACCGTTAGGCGGGCATGCCGGCATCTTTTAAAAGACTATTGATCGGTAGGCGGGCATGCAGGCATCTTTTAAGAGACTATTGATCAGTAGGCGGGCATGCAGGCATCTTTTAAAAGACTATTGACTGGTAGGCAGATATGCCTAAAATCACGACTCTAATTTTGACCAATCAGAAGGCTAGGTTTCTAAAGAGAAGTACATTACATTAATTATGATATTGTTAATATGATGGTGATAGTACTGAGTATAGTACAAAGACTATAGGGGCTTGATGCATCCCCCCCCCCCCCCCCCCCCCCCCCCTCAGATTTAGGAAAAAATGTCATGAAAGTTGAAGAGAATTTTACGCGTGTCTAAGTACCAGTATTCGCATACTTTTTCGAGCGGGAGAGATGCTTGAGGCCCTGATCATTTGTCAGGGCTAACCTATTGAGCCACATTTATTGATCTGTAGTTTTCATTGTGATTATGAATTTACTAGTCATACAGAAAGGCAACTCAATGGCAATGGCTAAACACATTTATATTGTTTTCACACTGGCAAAATTTTGCTTAACCCTGGACTATAGGGGGGGGGGGTCTTAAGCCCACCTATAGTCCGGGGTTATAAGCTTATTCCACTTTCTGTTAAGACACAAATTTACCAAAGCAGGCTAGCCCCACCTTTAGTACAGGGTTAGCTGGCCCTGCTAAAAAGCAGGGCTACCCCTGCAATTGTGGTGCTAACTCCACAATTGCGGTGCCAAGCAAATGAATGAGAACAGAAATGAAAAATAGTCTGGTACTACACAATGGAGCATATCGGAGCTGGCAAGATGCGAAGCAAGGAAGCTACTGTCTAACCAGAGATGACATATTCATGAATAAACATTTCCTGTAAAGCACTAATTGTGCGAAAGGTCAATATGTTAATCGCGCTTATTGTATACTAAACGTACTATTCATTAAGTTAAGCAAAACTAGTGTGAAAAGAGTATTACACACACTGTTGTCAAGTTTATTCTTCTTTGATATTGGAGACACTGAAAACAGATGTATATTTCTCTTTATTTCTGTTTTACAGATACCATTGAACTGGATGGTGAACTCTTGCTTGATAGCGTGCGTGGAATCAATGGCCAATTCAGCCCTACGGTAGCTCGACTAGGTAGCCTGTGGAACGACGTAAGCTGAAGATTTATGTTGTTATATTTATATCATAATCGTAAGATGTGATAAGAAGTAGAGGGGATTGATTGGGAAAGCTTGATGAGGTAGTAGTTACATAGGAGAGAGGAATATAGAGGAAGCAATTCAAACTTTTCTTTTACCATTATTCATGAATAATAATAATAATAATAATAATCCGGTTTTTTATATAGCGCTCAATACACCGATCCAACGATGTACCTAAGCACTTTACAGATATATTATTACCCCGGTCATCGGATTCAGGCTTACCCGCACACAATGTGTGCACATTTTCCACTCCCTGGGGAGCATTCCAGCTAGTCGCCATTTTACAGGCCGGCGCACACTTGCTCGTTCAACCACATGAACGTTCGCATCCTACCGGGTACCCATTTAACACCTGGGTGGAGAGTAGCAAGTGCAGGTAAATATCTTGCCAAAGGATATTAGTGCCGTGTCGGGATTTGAACCCTCAACCTTCGCATCTACAGTCTAGCGCCTTAAACCACTCGACCACGACACTCCCATGAATGGAATAAATTCAAAAGAAGGATATGAAAATTTAAGAGTGACATCAGGTACTTTTATCAGAAGGATTAGTTTGAGTTGAACCATCATTTATAGCATGTGAGAATGGATAGAGAAAATAGAAATGATACTCACTATGTGGCATGATCAAATAATCATCAAGAGGAATGGATTTGAATGCAATATTTCTAAGAGGACGAAAGTTTGAAAGAGTGACAAATAGTTATCAAAAGCCCTAGTATTGATTTGAAAAATCTTTGTGACATGTTGTGATAGAGAAAAGGGAAAAGATATAGACACATTATTCAAAGGACAGAAGGAAATATTGAGAAAGAAATGTTTGGGAGAAATGAGTGATCACAGACCTTTCAGGTGTACGTGTAGTTCATATGTGTTGATCCCAAAAAAACATTTCTTCAATCTCTTTCCCTACAGCTCGACGATCTCTTCAGAATCTCCTCTAGCTTAGCCGTAAGTTTTGTGGGAATAGAAATCCTTACTTCAAGTTTTGATACATCGAGTAACTTCCAGATCCAGTTCCGTCTTCATCTCAGTAATCCGTCATACTACAATGGAGAAGAAATTAAGCAAGCATTTTACTCGGCTCTTACTGACAACCTTCACTTTGCCACCACTAATACGATTGTACCAGAGTCATTCAATTTACGTAAGTTTAATTCTGTATTTGAATTGATGTTGGTGCATTTACTATTATAGCTTTAAAAAGTTATTTATCATTAAATTATTAAAGGAGAATACAAAAATATTTGCAGAAGTTACCTCGCTCACATACTTTTTATCTCCACTTTACTGTGCTTGACATACAACAAAAAACACAGTTCACTGCAGCACCCTGAATGTGAACACGCCTTATAGGCTTGTTGAGTGGCGTCATTTCATTTCACTTCATGATTTAACTCTGTGATTTGTTTTAGGTGTAAGGGAATTCCGCGGCCAGATTACCCTGAGGCAAATTGTATCTTCACCAACAACTGAGGTGGACTTTGTTACCTGTTGCGGAGATCTAACCAGTCCTCAATATCTTGCTTTGGAAGAAAGAATTCATGAAAAAGTAAGTTTTAACTTCTTTTAATATATATACTGTACAATTGCAAACAACAGTCATTCAGGTATCAACAAGGTTGTGTGGAAAGCTGATCACACCAGCAGTGCTTGTAAGGAGAGTCCAAAAAAGGCCAATCAAGTTTGTTTGCTGCTGCTCAGATGATGTTATGTGCCACTAATCTGTTAGGGGAAAAAGTAAGTAAACATTACTAATACCTTTTAATATAGGGAATTACACAAGGTAATAGTGTGAAAATGCATGACCTCAAAAAAGCCTGACATTACCAGAAGAAAAATAAAGAAACAAAAAGTAAACAACACCAGGTGTTAATGGACTATGCGCGTACACAAACAGCAGAGTTTAAAAGAAACTTAATATGTTGGTACATTGTACATTGTAGGTTATATCTTTTCTGCTGAAAACATTTTATTATTTTTGTAACCATTATTTTTAGACATACCTTCCTTAATTACTTCTGACGTTTAATACAATCATGAAATATTGTATATACCGTTACACATGATCTCACATGAATTTATTTGATAATGTGTAATCATTTGATTGTAGCACATTGTTATTCATATATTTATGCATCAGATTCTACAGTTTCTTTAACTTTGTGTACATTATTTCTACCATTATCTATTGTATTTTTATTTGTATTTGAAATCCAACCTAAGGTTTTGGTTGCAGTAAAGAAATGATTAATTAATAATATAAAATTATTTCATTTCTTAAGTTTTAAGTCACGCTAAAAGGATCAGGCTGATGTGCATGGACAATGTTGTGTTGCATTTGACATATCATCTTAACTGTCCTGGTCTTAGGACTATCCAGGAACAGGAAGATGGTATTTGATTCGAAAGGGTCAAATAAATTACAGACTTATACCAGTATTCTACTGATAAATAAACCCGACGTTGGGTTTAGGCTTTCGTTCAAAAAGATCAGGAAATTAGTGTGAGGTCTAAATTTTCCTCTTGTAACACACGATTTTTGACCAAGGGTCGGGTTTATAAAGTGAAATAGTAGATTATGGTCCTTTCATGAATTTGCTTTGTAATCATGTCTGTGTGTTCATGATTCTTTCCATAGTTGTGGTCAACCTTTAGGGGCTTGGGGAACTTCAGGATGGTGAAATCACTTCGGTTTAGATCCGGCAGCGTCGTTGTACCCTTCACGGTAACACTAAGTGATGATTCAACGGCAACCACCCAACAGGCTGATACTTTCTTTACCAATGCCATTGATGGGTCTTCCCTGGAGTGGATGCCGGGTGGAGTGTCATCAGAGCTTTTCCTTGTAACCCTTTCACCACCTAATGTACTTCCGATCACAGGTTAGATGATATCGGTTGATGTTCCTTATACAGTGAAACATGTGTATGAAAACCACCTGAGGGAAACATAAATTAAGTGCTCCAAGATTTGCTTTGCTGACAATTGCACTAGATGGCTTTTTTATGTCAGCATTATACGGTTTAGGTTTATGTTGCAATGTGGTATTAGGTTAGGTTTAGGGTAAGGGTTAGGATTACGTTGGATCAAGGGTTGAAGTTAGAAAATCGGTTGGTGTATAGGAAATTATGCTGGAGCAATTGTCGCAAGAGCAAGTTTGTCGTAGGAGCAAGTACGTTTGTTGTCAAACCAAATAAAAAGGGGATCTTTTGTACAACATCTGCTCCATGCAGTGACGATTACTCCGTGGTTAATTTCTATCTCTAACCAAGTCTTCAAAATTCAACCTGGTTCCAAATAACATAACTAATCCTAATCTTAACCAATATCCTATATGTAAAAAAACCTACTTGAAGACTGATCCTAACACCAACCCCTATCCTACATGTAAAAACCCAATGTGAAGATTGATCCTATATCCCTATACAGTGTATCATAAACAAAATCAATCTTTGAGGGAATGTTGTGGAAGCATGTACTGCTTGAGCATCTTTTATAGCTAAATAGTAGAACTCTTCTAGAGGTTTCTATAATACATGTACACGTTCCAATCATAAAAACTTTTCAAAGGAAACAAAAAATGTTGTCCATGGTCTTCATACAGGTGAATTTTATATACAGGGCCTTGTTGCATAACACTTCCCATCAATATCATGTGTTATAAGTCTTTGACAACTTTGCTCTCACCCAATCAAGTGCAGAGGTTTCAGTAGCTTATAACAGTTATTATGACGCCTTATTAATGGCAGATTTTATTAAACAGATTCCAGGGGGTCGCTATAGCAGGTTGACTCTACAATGATGGGTATATGCATGAAAAGTGCTTCTCCAAATTTTATGTTAAAGAGGCATAGTAGTGGGCTCTCACATGATACTCCCGAAGGCTCTCCGAGAGACTATAACCCCGTGTCCACACACAACAAATTTAATCGTATAGTTAATTGGGATAGTTATACGATGAAATTGTGCGTCTGTACGCTTACTATAAACGATATGTCGTATAACGAAACGCGGGTCTGGGCATTGTTTCTGACTAGAACTCGATAAAAATTCATGGAATGTGTTGTGTGTGGATGTAAGTAGTGTAACTGGTCGAACTAGAACTGTATAACTGGGCAGGGCTTAACATGACCGCGTGCGAAAGGAGACCTGACCTCTTGTTTCCGCTTCCGTTTCACGACCGCAGTAGCAAACTGCGCACCTATACAACGTTTCGCTGTAGAGTTTCGGGATTACTTTCTTTTATGTATGGACGCCCTGGAATTTATACGATGATTCTTTATACAACGTTTCTTTATAGAGTTACGGGATAAAAAAAATTGTGTGTGGACACGCTATGAGGGGTATTTCGTGATGGGACCACAAGTTTGCTGTTCGCGAGACATGTACACCCAGTGTTTCCACTGAGTCTGGCGTCAGTGAATTATGACCTACTGCACTTGGAAACTGACTACCATGTCCCTTTAATATTATATATACTGAAAAGTCCATTGAGGATATTCTCGTTTCTTTATAGCCTGGTCGATTTAAATATCATCGAGAGCAAGATATCTTTGCTTTTTGTGTCTTTTACATGTACTATAATTGTTGTGTATTTAAAGATTTACATGATTTTCACATTACTCTCCCCCCTATCCCCCCCCCCCCAAAAAAAGAAGTAAAATGTGTGATATTCTTTCTCCTCTATAAACTGGTAAATTTGATTCAGTGTATCTCTCTCCTCTTCTCTACATTCCCCATATTTCGTAATCAATCGCTCATTAACTGTCTCATTTCTCTTGTTGGAAACTGTTATCACTTTCCTTCTCTTCTTTTTCTCCTCAGAGGTTTGCCCTTCTTCATTCGACTGTTTATCAAATGGAGGAACATGTACTATCTTGAATCATATTGAAGTCTATGACCACGAATGCAGGTATGATTGTTAAACCCATAACAGTTTTGTGTGCCTTTAAAGGGGAAATCCACCCAGACATTAAGTTAGTTTTAATAGAATCAGAAAATGAGAGGATAGTTTAAGAAAATTCCTAATAAAAAAAGAAAGTTTGAATTTTTGAATTGTTGCAATCAATCAATCAAAAATTGACAACACTGTGACGTATCTTACAAGCTTCCTTCCCATTCGCTATGTACTAACAAAATAATTCAAATTATTTTTTCCCTCAAGAAATTTTCAGTCATACATTGCACCCTAAATATAATCATTGGAAATATGTGTTTTCATTAATCCACTGTATGGAAACAAATCTATTCCGTCAACAATAGCAAAGAAATTGAAAATTTATGAAATGTTATTTAAATTACTTTTTGCCTTCCAAGAATACAACCATTTTTGCAGATCTCATAAGCATTCCTAAGAAATGAAAACGTGACACAACTTTGCTTTAACCCTATTTAGCCCGGGCTATTTTGAAACTGCATAGCCCGGGGGAGGGGGCTTCTAAGGCCCCCCCCCCCCCCCCCCCCATGATCTCGGCCACGAAACGCCTGGTCGCCGCGAAAATTTGCATACATGTTAAGTGAAGTGTATAGAATACTATGGTAATTTCAATTTTTTGAAAAGTTCACTCATTTGCATATTTATGGTAATTTATGCAAATAAGGTCATAAAATTCACATTTTTGCCCATAAATCAGACATTATTCATATTTAAGCATTCTTTCTCACAACATATATTTTGGAATAATAATACAACACACAAAATTGAAAAACCAGGGTTATTCCTTATGTTATCTATTGTTATGATAATTTCTTATGTATTTCTTTTTTTTTAACTTATGTATTTTATAGTTTTTGTTGTTTTATTTCATTTCCAACTATAATTCAACTATTTTGACCCCAAAATAAACACCTAAACTATAAACAAGACCAAATAACCAAAGTTTTATCTCTTTATTTGAAAAATGAGATTTCCATATGTTTGTACACAAATAAAAAAAAATGAGCGATTTTCGGGCTGACATGCAAAGACAAAAGGACACGTGACTTTGTAATGAAAGGTCCGATTTTCGAAAAATTTCTTTCAAAAGATGCGCAAGACTCGAAAGAAAAAAGTCAACAAATTTCAGTGCAAGATTTTCTTGCGTTAAAAAATTATTGCGAAAAATGTCGTGATCGCGTTATCTGAAGAACCGATTGATGGATTCCTGCCAAACTTTGATCATGTATGTATCTTGCAGAGCCAATGAACTGAGTAGATTCTTGGGTCATGAGGTCAAAGGTCAAATGTCATGGGCTCATTATGTATGCAAAAATAGCTTGTGAACGCATTCTCATTAGAACTGACAGATGGATTACTATTTAACTCAAAACATCTTGCAGAGCCAGTGAACTGAGTAGATTTTAGGGTCATGAGGTCAAAGATCAAAGGGTCATACATATGTATATGAAAAAATTGCTTGTAATCACGATATTCTGAGAACCTGTTAATGGATTACAATTGAACTTGAATTTGAAATATTTCTTTTGGTTTGTAAAATTGCTCTATGACGGAGGCATCATTTTTCGACTGCGTGCAGTCGAAGTTCCATCTCGTTAAATTTACATTAATGATCTTACACATTCAGCTGCACCTCGCACTTAAAGGATTTTTTTTTTTTTTTTTAAGGGCGAAAAAGAGGGGTGGGGTTAATACACAAGGGCGGTTTATACACCGTTAATTACGGTATATAGATACCCAGTATAAAACTAACTGCACATTTGCTCATTTTGTTGCGCCTGATTTTTTCGTTTTATGTCAATGTGTTTTGTTTTTTTTGTATTGTTTTTGCTTTCTTTTTTTGAACAATTATTCAACATGGGATAATAATATTATAATTTTTTCGTTCTGTGTTCCATATTGATGCAGCTGTCCGTCTGGTAGATCGGGAGAAAATTGTGAAAATGGTAAGTAAAGGCAATAAGCTCTCATTACAAAAAAAAACTCTTTAAACTTACCAATAACTTTCATGAATAATCATGTAATACTGTATTAGCCAATGTTTTGCGTAAAGATATTTGCAGATTAAGGGTTCAAGGACAGATTTGTGAATTATTAGATTCATGTAAAGCCACAACCTGCAACCACAACCAATTATATGCTTTTCAATATTATCAATCTATTTCCGTGGATCGTAATATTGTGTACAGTAATATGCATGACTTAAGGCTTAATAAAAGAGAATATGGTACAAGCTTTATATGAAGGTTTTATATTTTCAAGCTTGCCTCATTTAGTATCTTATAAAGGAAATTGTATAAGCAAAGTCATCACAATACAAGTAATTTCACATTTTAATGATTACAAACATTAAGAATCTCTAATTTTACCATGAAGTTGATTAATTTTTGTCATCTTTTCATCCCATTAGAAGCTGATCTGAGCACAGTGGCGAACATAGGAATTGCAGTGGGCGTGGCCACTTTCATCCTTCTCTTTCTCTTCATCTGCTGCTGTCTGTACTTTTTTGGAGCAAGAAACTCCAAGGATCCCAAGTATGGTCGGAAACCAGCTCCGCTCATGCTCATGCCAATTAGAGTAGGTATTCAGTATTAGTAGTAGTAGCATTAGTAATGGAAATGGTAATAGTAATAGTAATGGTAATAGTAGCAGTGATAGTTGTAGTAGTAGTAGTAGTAGTAGTAGTAGTAGTAGTAAAAGTAATAATTTTTAATGATATTTGATATTGATAATGATAATGATGATGAAGATAATAATAATCACAATAATAATAAATAACAATTATAATGATAATAATTATAATAATAATATTGATAATGATAATAATAGCAATGTTATTGATGATAATGAAAAATGCATAGAATAATACTAATGAATTAATGATAAAAATAATAGCCATAATAATAATACTGGTACCAATAATAATGATAATGATAATAATATGCAAATAATAATATTAATTATGACAACATCAACAATAATAGTAATAATGATGAAAATGATAATGATAATAATAATAACAACAATAATTCTAATTATAACATGGGTAACATTAACAAAATTAATGATAACAGTAACAATAATGATAATAAAAACAACAACAATATAATAATGATAATCATAACAGTAAAATTAACAATAACAAAAATAACAAAAACAGTTATAATAATTATTATAATTATAGTATTAATAGTTATAAAAAATAATAGTAATAATAATAATGATAATAATAATAGGGGAAGGAAAAAAGAACCTTGTGATATTTAACACTTCAATATGAACTATAAACTCTGAAGCAAAGAAAATGGTTATTATCCATCCAAAAATAGGACCAGCTAAATACACCAGCTAAAATTCAAGACATGCTAGTGACACTGTATGTTCCATGTGTAAAATATGTGGGAAATAAGTCATGATGCCCTAGCCCCTTCCCTAACTTCTGGTCATTCCCCTTCTCCTCCCCCTCCCTTCCTTAATGCGGAACTACATGTATATCCACCATTGTCTAATGTCTAAACTTTTTTAAACTACAGTAACATCTAAATAATAACAAAATAACCACAAAACACAATGATTTCCATCTAGGACGACTACTATTATCGTCGACCCCCAATCATGGATCGACATGGCCCGATCATCACCGAGATGGAAGAGGGGCTCGAAGGCCCTTTTTTCCATCACGAGAGAGAGGACTACCATGCCCCAGCCCCTCTTCCATTTGCCATCGAACCCGCGCCATTCCTCCAAATCCCTCGTCCTGCCATAATTGGTCCACAATGTCAGCACGAGTATGGGGATGCTTATCGTGCACCTCGACGAGAACGCTCCAGGAGGAATCGCTCTCGGGACGTGCTTCCGGTGAGACCCAATGGAACCAATCCAATCTTTGTTTAAAACCAGTCATTACTTTCTTTGTTTGAGTTAAGATTTCCCAATAAATGCATGTATATGCCCCAACAAGAAAATAATATTAACCATGTACAACAATTTATCAAACCTCAATGTATGCCTACAGAGTAATTATAACTATCAATATTATGAATGTATCTGTTATGGATAACGCGATGCAAATTAAAGAGATGAGGGTAGAGCTGATGTACACCTGTACAGCATCTATGTTATCATGACAATAACGATAATAATAACAGTAATAATAATTATTATAATTATAGTATTAATAGTTATAAAAATAATAGTAATAATAATAACTAGACTTTAATTCGTCACTTTGACGAATTAGGTGATACGTAGCTATTTTTGTATCATGAAAGTGTGCCGATGATGATCTAATGATAATATTCATAAATACGATGATGATGATTTTTGGGTTTTAAATGACGATGACCATGATGAAAAGTGGTATAGCGCCCCCTTCAGGTATTCGATAGAGAATTGTTATATGATTAAACTATTTATTTACTAAACAAGCTCAAATTTTCGCCTGATTGCAGAGCCTACCAATCATTGAATTTCGACGCACTACATACGCAACATAATGAACAAGTCTAGACTGGAATGTAGTATCAATCACCTCCAATAGGCATAAGACGCATATTAAGCAAAAATCTAATGACGTCATCAAAATGAATAAATATTGGTAATAATCTTGTGAAGAATTGTCTCAGCTACAACATATCAAAATTTAGAAGAAAATTGATCAATATTTGCAGAGATACAATCATTTTCCGTAAGTATGTTGACGTCATAATATGCAAATTCGTATTTTGAGTTCCAAGGTCAATATGATTATGTAAAAATATACTTAATGGCCAAATGAGACATGAAATCATATGTCCGACTCATACTCTATCTAAATATGAACAAAAAATGGCAGTCCTTATTCATCCCGATGTACTTTTTATAGGCATGTTTTTGCCCATATATGCTATGTAATACATGAGCTCGCACACACAGATATTTATCTTCAACGGACGCTCATTTCCGTTATTAATAGTGATAAAGAGATGAACATGGTATCAAATTGTTCAGAAAAGTATGAGGAATATCCTGTCAAAAAAATTTTGGGTTAATTATTTTTTGTTCGGCCGTGACGAACGAAAACGCGCAAAATGCGTGTTTTGCGCAATTTTTTTTTATGAAAAGCTTATAATGGCCTAAAACGTATGCAAAAAAAATTTAAGACGATTTTGAGCAATTTAAAATTTTACGCGCGCGTTAACGCGTGCACAAACGCGTACGCGCATTTTTGCGCGCATTTATTGACCTGAAATTGACCGGACGGATATTGATTCTAATCCTGATAATTATAAATGAGAAATTCCTTTCCGTTATAAAGATATGATCATAAGTTAATTTTCACAAAATGGCGCCTGGATGACGTCACAATAACTGACTCTCTAAAAAATCATGCCGTTCTATGTTAGACTAAGATCTATCTATAATAGCTTTATTCAGTCTTGAGATATCCTGCGAACAAATTCGAGGAAGAATAATAATAAATAAATAATAAATAAATAATAAAAATCTTGACGAAATCAAAAGGTGATACGTCTACGTACGTTTCACCTAATGATGATAATAATAGGGGAAGGAAAAAAGAACCCTGTGATATTTAACACTTCAATATGAACTATAAACTCTGAAGCAAAGAAAATGGTTATTAATAGATCCTCAGTCTTTTTTTCACTCTTTTACTTGCCCATCCAAAAATAGGACCAGCTAAATACACCAGCTAAAATTCAAGACATCCAAATCCCTCGTCCTGCCATGATTGGTCCACAATTTCAGCACGAGTATGGGGATGCTTATCGTGCACCTCGAAGAGAACGCTCCAGGAGGAATCGCTCTCGGGACGTGCTTCCGGTGAGACCCAATGGAACCAATCCAATCTTTGTTTAAAACCAGTCATTACTTTCTTTGTTTGAGTTAAGATAACCCAATAAATGCATGTATATGCCCCAACAAGAAAATAATATTAACCATGTACAACAATTTATCAAACCTCAATGTATGACTACAGAGTAATTATAACTATCGATATTATGAATGTATCTGTTATGGATAATGCGATGCAAATTAAAGAGACGAGGGTAGAGCTGATGTACACCTGTACAGCATCTATGTTATGACATACTTCTACACACTGAAAAATGGACTTACAAACATTATACATGTAGTAAAACTAAACAAAATGCAAAGTCTTGTTCATTCACAATAATCTTTATTTTTTAGGTGTACTGTATATGTACAACCCGCTTCAGTTTGCCTTCTAAAAGTAGCAATAGGCTTATTTTTAACATGTGAAAAGTTTTGATAGTAAACAACTTTCTCAAATAGATATATCTTTATTTTTGTTCTTTACTGATACTCAGGAGCGTCTTCAAGGAGGTCGATATCGAGATCATGAGGGACGTCACTACCAGCGGGACTCTATGCCTGAGAGGGTATGTCTTAAGCCTTTACTTTTAAATGGCCCAAGGGTTATAAACCTGTGCAGGTCCATATTAAGCTATATGCACCATGCAAAGACACTCAATGCCGCGCTTACAGAACTTCTGAGGTGACTGAGCAATGAATATATCATTGAGGTTTGCCCTTTAAATATTGAAATTTTCTTATATATCTCGCCATATTATCAATACCGGTAGTTTTAAAATCAAGGTGAAATTCACATTAGTCAGCCGCAAAAATAAAGATTTACATTCATTTAAAGGTAATACAAAGTTTTGGGAAAGTTTGAGAATTGGGTGGATAGTGATTTTTTACAATTTTGATATATTTGGATGCCCCTGTGGATGTATTATAAGCACTAGAAATTCAGCCCCTAAAACACTTGTGCTTTCAAGAAAAATTGAATATAAAAATTTACCGGTGCTTCCGGTAAATTTTGATGAATTTGAAATGGCGCCTACGGCCATTCAATGGTAGCTGCCACCATGAAAATCTCAGAATATGTAGTTGTGATATATAATTTCCAAACGGGAATAGCTAATTGGTCGATTTTAGTCAAGAAACATTGTTTTTTAGCTTAATTAATATCTTGACCTTGAGAGGGAGCTATACAACATACAGGTAAAGAGTTAATTATGTACAATTCATAACTTTAGACTCGAATATGCATCCAATATGTTCATTTGAACCAAATTCATGACCCCATACCAACACTTTGTATTACCTTTCCATGTGCGTAGCTTATGCCCCCCCCCCCCAGTCATACATGTACACCTACTAACATACAGGAATATGGAAACGGTAATGTTTTATGTTCAATATATGCCTCAAAATATGCGAGAGAGGATAGATCCTATATTTTACTCCTATACTTTTACAGGATATTACCCCAAAAAAGTGTATTATGCTTATAATAGTAACTGCCTTAACATATCCTTTACCAAACAAAAGCATTAGCATGATTGTGTTAATGAGCTCTTCGGTTAATTTGATTTTTAGCCCTTGTACATGTACTTTTAAAAAGGTCAGCTTAGAATTTTTTTAATAATAATAACAAATAATATATTTGCAAAATGGTCTACCAATAGAAACATGATCAAATATGGACAGAAATCTAAATTTCATTAAAGTAAAACAAGGCATATTTTATGTAAAGGCTGTCAAGAGGAATTAAGGTGCCCAGAAAAAAGTATATACACATGTAAGTCTACTGTCTAAAATCTTATTGTGGTTAAGGAAAGCCAATCTCGCAAATATTTCCGGTATTTGATGTACTATGTTCTATTATGTAATAGAAAAGGTCAGATTATATCATGCGTTATGCCCCAGCGGTGCGGCCGGGCCGACTACGGACCGGCGGGGGAGGGAGGGGCTATAAATGTTCTTTACTTCTTGGCCTCTCTCTTTCCATTTGGTGTCGGTCTGATGGTCGTATCGTCTATGCGGCCGGGGTATACAGAAGTATCATGCTATGTTTTTTAATGTTACACTGAAATGTGAAATCACAAGATTGTAAGTGTGAAACAATATGATTATTCATTATTTTTTTACAAAACGATATAACACATATTTTGTAAATCATTGTGTTTTCTGACCAATAAAACTTATCAAGATAAAAAAAAAAAAAAAACGCTAATATAATATGTAGGCATAGGATCTATGAAATCCTCGTTCTACAGAGTTTGTTTTGTATCTTAATCCTTTCATAAAAAAACTATTGTGCAAAAGTTGATTTATTTTGTCCCTCTTTTTTTGCTAGATGGAAGATATGAAGCAGCGGCTGTTCCAAGAATTCAACTACTAGACAAGACATCTTATCAAGAGACCCAGTGTGAAAGGCTCACCGCTGAACCACTCCCTGAAATACTGTCTTCCTTTTCAAAATCTTTCAAAAGTGTTTGATAATTTTTTTCTTTTGATATGAAGCTGTATTAACAGCAGCAGTTTTTTTAAACTACATGTAAATGAATGGTAATCGCAAAAAACAATGGTCCTTTACTATGCACTATTCACTGAACTCTATTTTACTAGAGATTAGAGAAATTTAAAGTATTTTTCACTACCGCTAATATATATATATACATTTTTAAGTGCAGCAGTTCACTGCATCATATATGAATGAGGCCTAAAAAGTGAATGTTACAATTACTATAAAAAAAAATTAAGTTACTGTTTGGTATTTCAGATTCTTTTTTTTTTCCTTTTTTTTGCAGGTCTAATAATTACATCTCAAAGGTCAACGCTTTAATGCCAACACATTTCAATTTTAGATTCTTTTTGTTCAATTGTAATATATGAATGCATATCAAAATGAGCATATATTTTTAAGGTTTGGCTCTGCATTCTGTTGAACACACATAAAACAGTATTTACTTTTGTACTTTCATTCATTTTTTGGGATTTTTTTATTTTTTGCTTTACATGTACAATGTACAATTCTTATTTTGGTTGTGGGGACTAAATATGATACATGTACATTGTAAGTAGTGAAATTCGTAGTGAGCTGTAGTATGGCGTTTTACTTGTTTTAGGTAGATGTCTTGCTATCCTGCAGGAAACATTTATCTTTCTGTTTTATAGGAAAGTGCGGTGGAGGAAATGGTAAATTTTTGTTTTATTTCAATAAGAAAGAGTATTTTGAAACTGCACAGCCTAAGGGTGGGGCTTTTTATTCAATTGTAGTATGACAATGCATACGAAAATGAGCATATATTTTTAAGGTTTGGAATTGCATTCTGCTTTATACATAAAGACAATCTATATTTTTGTACTTGCATTCCTTTTTTTGATTTTGTTTGGATATTTTACATGAACAATGTACAATTCTTATTTTGGTTGTGGGGATTAAATAGAGGCCTATGTTACATGTACATATACATCGTAAGTAATGAATTTCGCAGTGAGCTGTTATATGTCATTTTACTTTTTTTTAGCTAGACGTCATGCTACCCTGCAAGCAGGAAACATATAACTTTCTGCTTTATAGGAGATTGCGGTGGAGGAAATGGTAAATTTCAGTTTGATGAAACTTAAAAAAGAAAGAGTAACAAAATCACCCCTTTTTAGCCAGGAATCAAGTTTTTAAAGTGTCTCAAAGATACTTGATTAAATATTGGCAATGATGGCATTTCATGGTTCCATCTACAGCTTTGTACCCAACAGTTTTGAACCCCCGCACTGATCTTTGATCAAAAAAGCAACCGTCACGTTGATATATCACATATCCAGAGATGCCACAAAAAAAACAGACTGAATATCCTAAAAATCAAATTTTGGGAAGAAAAATCAGATATTCATGAAAACTCGACACTGCCACATGGCCCGTTGGCCCGGGCCAGTGAAAATTCAAAAAAATGTTTCACTTTTAAGAACGGTCAAGTCAAATGTTTGCTCTTTCATTAAGATTTAATGAGAAAATTATAAAGCAAAGTTTTGTTGGGGGTTGCGGGAGGTTGACTTGTACATTTTTCTATGCGATTCTGCGTTTTTTATGGGTTTCTATTGTTTTTGGTTTTTTTAATTGAAATTTTTTTTAAATTGCATTATCGTATTTCACTCTTATTGTATTAAATGCGATTTTAGCGCAAGATATTTTTTGCGCTTAAAGATTATTGCAAAACATGTAGAGAGGGGGTGCATTATCGACCCCCCTCTATTATTGAGTTGATGCTTACACATTACACTTTAACATTCTTTTTATTCAATTGTAGTATGAGAAAGCATACGAAATTGAGCATATATTTTTAAGGTTTGGAATTGCATTTTGCTTTATACATAAAGACAATCTATATTTTTGTACTTGCATTCCTTTTTTGGATTTTGTTTGGATATTTTACATGAACAATGTACAATTCTTATTTTGGTTGTGGGGATTACATGTAAATAGGCCTATGTTACATGTACATATACCTCGTAAGTAATGAATTTCGCAGTGAGCTGTTATATGTCATTTTACTTGTTTAAGGTAGACATCACGCTAACCTACAGGAAACATTTAACTTTCTGTTTTATAGGAGAGTGCGGTGGAGGGAGAAGAAAAAAAATCAAAAAAAAAAAAAATCAAAAAAAAAAATTGTATCATCATATTTCACACTTATTATTGTACTAAATGCGATTTAATCGTACTGGTTGGCATCTCTGCATACAAAACGTTTTTAGATGATGAGTATATGCCTGTTCGCTGGTGGCTGTTTTAATTTCTTTTCTCAAAAAATGTGAATTAGTGGTTCTTTTGAGGGTGGTTGCTTTCAATTTCTTTTTTGGGGTGTAAACTACTCAAGCATATATACAAAGTATCCACAGTATGTTAAATACAATATCTTTACAACACTATGTTAACAGCAGCCTACAACTGAATGATCCATATTCTACTAACTGTAAAGTAGATGCTGGGTTTAACCCTATATAGCCTGGGCTATTTTGAAACTGCATAGCCGGGGGGGGGGGGGGGGGGCTTCTAATCCCCCCCCCCCCATGATTTCGGCCGTGAAACAACCGATCGCCGCGACAATTTGCATACAAGTGAAGTGTATAAAATACTATGGTACATGTAATTTCAATATTTTGAAAAAGACACTCGTTTTCATATTTATATGGTAGTTTATTCAATTAAGGTCATAAAATTCACATTTGTACCCATAAAATGTTCTTCATATTTAAACATTTGTGTTCACTACATACAGTGTGAGTCCAAAAAAAGTTTACACCTAGAAAATTGCTAATTATTCTAAAAATCATCTGTGAACAGTAAATTAGTATACATCTTATGAAAGAGTGTTTTATCCAGAATCATTTAGTATCATTTTGTGTGGTTTGTGTTCACGCTTGGATGAACAGGAGGCATTGTTTTCGAGAGTGCAAAAATCGACTTGCACCAAAGTTGCATATGTTTGAATAAAACAATTGAGATTTGGGTATAATTTCAGATACAAATAACATCCCTAACAAATTTAATCATGCTACACATTTCAAATATCGAATATCAAATATCAACCAACGTGTGTGTGTGTGTGTGTGACTTTGCTTCTGCAAAAAGCATATGCAATGCATCATTTGATACGTTCAATTCATTCTCTCACTCCGCTAATCCCAATATAATACATACTGTATCAGTTTGGCGCAAGTCGATTTTTGCACTCTCGCAAACAATGCCTCCTGTTCATCCAAGCGTGAACATATACCACACAAAAATGATACCAAATGATTTGGGATAAAACACTCTTACATAAGATGTATAATAATTTACTGTTCATAGCTGATTTTTAAAGTAATTAGCAATTTTCCAGGTGTAAACTTTGTTTGACTCACACTGTATATGCTTAAGACTATTTGGAATAATAATACAACAACAAAATTTGGAAGAGCCAGGTTATTCCTCATGTTATCTATTGTTTTGATAATTTCTTATGTATTTCCCTTTTTTATACTTATGTACAGTATATGTATTTTATTGCTTTTGTTGTTTTATTACATTTTTAACTATAATTCAACTATTTTGACCCCCAAAACAACACCTAAACTACAAACAAGACCAAATAACCAATGTTTTATCTCACCTTTCGAAAAATGATATTTCCATATGTTCTGTACACAAATCACTAAAATCGCTGGGCTGACTAAAGGGCATGTGAGTTTGTAACGGTAGCTCCAATTTTCAAAAAAATTGTTTCAAAATATGTGCAAGACTCGAATGAAAAAAGTCTTTAAATTTCAGGGCAAGATTCTATTGCGTTAACAAATTTTGCAAAAAATGTAGAGGAAGGGGGCTTCTAAAGCACCCCCCCCCCCCCCCCCACCTCCAGGCTATATTGGGTTAAACTTGATCTAAAGTAAATTTTAACAAATTTAAGGAAGATTGACTGAGGTTTTCTACCTGTTCTCAGATACTAGTAAACACAAATTATTGTATACAGTCCCCCTCAGTATATTTTACCCTAATGTTGACATCACAAATCAATAAACAAACTTTTGGATACACTAAATAGTTATGCATTTGTGTATTTCGATGTTATTACTTTACAAAATCTCTGAAAAGTTACATGTTATGAACCGAAAGGAGAACAAGAGATGTCGAGATGAAGCAAAGGAAGAAATGGAGGGACAGATAGGGAGAGAGAGAGAAAGAGAGAAGGGAGAGCTGGAAACAATAACTGGAGAGAGAAAGGAGAGAGGTAGTAGATCCAACACTGAAAAAGAGAAGGGGAGTAATGACAGCCGAGGAAGGAAGACAGAGAGAAAGAGAGAGATATATGAAAAGGGATGACCGCTAACATTGAAAAAATAGAGCTTTAGAGATACATTTTATCCCATTATATGCATAATATACACAATTAACTAAATTATTCATACCTTCTGTAAATTTGAAGTATTTTTTTTCCTTCATAACTTTAGCATGAAAGGTGGGCTGATTGAATTAGGGCCTTTAATAGTTGAATACCTAATGAATGATTTAGTTGCTATTAAACTGTACACACACTATGAACATGACGGACAAAGAAAGCGGCAAAATGTTCCTCATTCTACCCTCAACAATTGCTATGGTAGACAAAGGAACATCCCTTCACTTCTATTATGTAAAAATGTGTAGAACAGGTGAATATGCATGTGACACCTGTTCTACAGATTTTTACATGATAGCAGTGAAGGGCCGATGTTCCTTTGTCTACCAATGAGGATCGAGGAACTGTATATTTTGTCCGCTTTCTTTGTCCGTCATATTCATAGTGACATGCACTGTAGGATAGAATTGTGGATGGTTCTGAAAGGAAGGGCTTGTTTTGGTTTCAACAATTCAACAAAATCTTTGGTAGATTGTGAATATACTCCAAGGACTATACATATCAAACCCTCAAAAAAAGTTCTGCAATTCAAGTTTTAGCGTTAATATCTCTCTTGTTACTATGTCATTATACCTGATGTTGGTATCAGTGAATAGCCTGTTAATTCCCCTTCACAATAATGCCCTAGTTATAATGATTATGTGTTTGTGGACTGTGCAGTACCGTAGTCCTGAATATGGAGCCAAGTCAAAGGTGATATTTTGCAAAAAATACATTGTTATTGTCAATGGTGAATTCTTCAGACAGGGGTGGAAAGGAGTTTGCCTGCACTGATGCTCGAGTGCAGAACAACTTGTAGAGGTGTTGTGGTCTAGTGGACAAGTCTCCAGACTGTGCACCACAAGGTCCGCGGTTTGAATCCCTGCCGTAACACTAATGTTCTTTGGCAAGACATCGATCTACATTTGCCACACTCGACCCAAGTGTAGTAAGTGGGTACCTGGTAGGATTTATTCCTTGAATGCACTGAGCGCTAAGTTTGCCAGAGCTACAGCCAGAGTGATATAATATGTCAAGTCCTTTGGAAGCGCATAGAGACATAATATCGT